CCAAGCTGTGCATCTCCTTTTCCCAGAAGCCCAAGCTTTAATGACTGTACCAGATATCAGGCATGGGGTGAAATCATCCCATCTAAGTTTTGGTGGGCATGATTTTGGTGCACATCTACTCCAGCTGTATGGCTGCCTTCTGCAGCAGAACCTAACTTTGGTGAGTGTCCTGGCATTCCCTTCTGGAACACCCTAAATTCACGTTGTGTTTGGTGGATACATTTGGTCCTGTACACACACTTGGAATGTGCAGTGATCTCCAGTGGGTTCAAACACTTGGGCCATTTTGTGCTGCTTTTCCCAGGCAATTAGCTTAGAGCTGGATTAGAAATGGAGCAGTCAGCGTATTAACTGGCACACATATGAGATGTCAATATGGCAAGTGGCAGTTTTACTCACTATACCACAAGGCTAGCCCCAACTACCCTCAGGTATTTTGCTTTAGTAAAAGAAAAAAAGACTAAACACAGAAGAGGCAAGCTTTACCATATTTTTATCATAAATTTTACAAAAACTTCTGTTTACCTCATTTAAATATTGTCAGCATATGAGAGGGTTGTTTTTACTCCCATGTTTATAGAAGTTCAATTCACAATAGCTAAGACATAGAATCAACCCAGATGCCCATCAGTTGATGTCTGGATAAGGAAAATGTGATATATACACACAATGGAATGCTATGCAACCATAAAGATGAATGAAATCTTGTCTTTTACAACAAAATGTTGGCAACCGTGAACCATTGTATCTAACTAAATTAGTCAGTGTCAAAAAAACAGATATATCCTCCCTGAACTGTGACATCTAAAAAACAGAGTAAAATGTAATCAAGATGAATTAAATTTACAATTTATAACCTTTGGATATATCTTTGAGGAATAACAATTTTCCCCCATTTGCTATTTGTGGAATTCCATACCTAATGGAGTGTTAAACCTGTGATTGTAGGACAGCCAAAATCATGCCACTGTAAAAATTAAAAAAACAAAAATAAAAAAAGAAACAGGAGGGACAGGGGTGCATGGATGAGATGGGAAGTGTTGCCGTGTTCCTGCAGCAGCATTGTAATATATAGTCACATTTTTTTCTTTTAAAGGTGTATTCATTTTATCGGAAAGGCAGATTTAAGAGAGAAGGTAAGATAGAAAGGAAGATATTCCTCCTGTTGTTCACTCTCCAGATGGCTAACAGAAACCAGGAGCCACAACCCACCACTGGTTTCTGATGTTGGTGCAGGGGCCTGAGACCTTGAGACATTCTCCAATAAATTTCCAGGTCATAAGCAGTGATATGGATTGGAAGTAGAACATCCAGGACAAGAACTGATGCCAAATAGGATCCTAGTTTTGCAGACAGAGGCTGCCTGTTGAGCCCCTGTGCTAGCCCCAAGATATGTTCACTTTACATGAATAAAATCATAAGGAAGTGAACAAATTAAAAATGTTACCAAATGTGAATAAATATTCTCCCTGTCAGAATGAAGCATCATAGATATCTTGAAATGTTCATTAGTTGGCCCTAGTTACATTTTGATAATAAAAGTATTAAAAATGCCTCATATCATAGCCAGCTTTACCATTGCTTTACAAGTGCATTTACATTTCTGAAGCATCTGTCCCTCATAGAGCTAATGTATCAGACATTAAAGTAGGTTACTACATCTTTGTTCTCAGTCTACTATTGTTTCACTTAAAATGGGAACTGAAAAGAAGGGTTGGAAAATAACTGAACAAAGGTACAAAAAGATAAAATCTTACATGATCAACATGGGACTGAGTGGGGAAACTTTTTGTTTGAATAATTAATGACCTGAAATGCAAAATTATCATCATGAATGTGTTTATTCAATATGAGTATCCTCTCTTCCAGTGATAGACAACTTTTCCACTTCTTTCATTTTTCATTTCACTATTTAGTTGCTCATATCTTGTAAGAGTTGCTTGAATAGGATGAAATGGTAAAATGTCATATTTGATAGTAGTAATTCATTGACAAAAACAGCACTCTTTTGCATGCATGTATACTGTGTGAACATGTACATGATGGAAACAGGAATTAAGTAGGTGCAGATTCATTTCCCATTGTCTGTAGCATTTGATATAGCTCTATAAACTTCAAGTGTGGAAGTTTCTTAGCTAGAGTTGTGATTCAGTGTGTTTTTGCTTCAGTTTTAAATTAAATTGGCACTGGATTTGGTTCGATATCAATTTTGATGTTTAAAATACTGGCTGCTGTCTAACAAACTAGAAACTCTAGTAGTAATGATTTGTCTACCTGTGAAATTCCAGACTTTGATAATCCTCATACATTATATCATCTCATCCCTAATCTCAAATTCTACATTCAATTATTTTTGAAATATTAACCACAAACACAATTCTTGCAAAGCAGGCAGGCACAAGGATGGTGTTTTCTGGGGGAGAAAGGTCTCCATGATAAATTCTGCAGGTGTCCCTTTATATATGAATGGTAATATATATAAATATATATATTGGCATTGTATGAGTTGGATACATTGGGGAAAAGAGCAAGAGTTGAATATCCAAAATATGTTACATGACTTGAAATATACAAAAGGATACGCTTGTGCAAGGATTGTAATTATAGAGTATATTCTCATAAATATGTCTGGCTATGAGGGAACTTCATTCACTCAAAATTCATCCACACAGCAAAAATAAGGAGATAAGAATCTGCATGAGGCCAATTCATTTCCTGTAACCACACTCCCAGAATGTATGTAAACCATATTTTCTCAAAATGATGCAAAGTGTGTAATATGTGTCTTCCTAACCCTAAGAGAGAGTTAATACATAAAAAGGGGTTGATATACACTTTAATCATAACCCTGGAAGAACAGAAATCCTTTCCTTGATCCTGTTGCATTTTCTTTCTTTCATCCATCTGAAAGGTAAATATACAGAGACAATGAAAAAGATGGAGAGAGATTTTTTCCATCTGCTGGTTCATGCCCCCAAATAGCTATAACAACCAGGGCTGGGCCAAGTCAAAATCAGGAGCAGGAATTTAAGTTCAGGTCTTCTACATGGGTCACAGAGACCCGAGTACTGGAGTGATCAACTGTTGTCTTGCAGAGTTTGCATTAGTGGGAAGCTGGAATTGGGAGTGCGACCAGGACCCCAGTTCAGGAACTTCAATACAGGATATTACTGATCTAGGTAGTAGTAGTTAATCACTGTGACCAACACTCATCCCCAGTTTCCTTCCTTAAGGTTAAATTTCTTATGTTGTTTTATGAGGCAGGTTTGTCAAGGCTTTGTATTGAAATGGCAAACAACTTGGTAGCAGGAAGCATAGAAGTGCAAGATGAGTTGCTCACTCAGTATTTTCCTGGATGAGTGTCTTTTCAGCTGAGTCAATGAAATGAATTCTAAATAATCAGGCGGTTCCCATAATTGCTTCCACTTCCCCCAAAGTCCCAACTATACACAAGACTTGGAATCAAAATGTATCCCTTAATGTTGAGGTAGGACAAATGATTGCCATCAAGTGGCATTAAACCACAGAAAGCACTGAATACCTTACCCTTTAGGAGTTGGGCAGCTAATAGGATAGGCTTCATCTGATCATGGTATTAACAAATAAAGCCAATCTACATATTATGTGATGAATTATTGGAACCCTTCCTTTTGTAGTATTATAATCACTTGTATTGAGAACAAATATGCTTAGCCAGCAAATAAATCTTCAAGAATTTTTCTCTTCAAAAGCAGAGAAACAGCTTTGGCCCTGTCCAGACTCTCAAGACTTAGCATAAATGACAGTGATGAGGAGGCGATGGTGAGATTAACACTGGCGGAAGTAGCAGGACAGTTCTGAACTTGCAGAGTTATAGGCATTGGGTGGCCAGACAGAACTGTGGAATATAACACCTGTTTCACAGGAATGTCAGGAGTAGAACTTGAATTGCCACTATTTTGGAGGTTTCATAGTGAACAATTTAGATGAGTTTCAGGGAAGGGCTATGTTTTGCTTTGGTTTCTTGTGGGGAGCAGGGTGCTGAAGCTGCTCCTGGATTGAGCGGGGCCATTGCAAGATAATGGCTGGCTCAGGGCCAGGAGGTGAGGTTGGTCTCTCCAGCAGGTAAACAGGAAGTCACAGGGATAAGCTAATGCCCCCACTGCGATTATGTCATTGCTACTGGCCTATCAGCACCAAGTGGACACGCGGGGAGAAGTGATTGGTGGAGAAAGATATAAAAGTAGCCGGTAAAAGCTAGGTGGGGGGCAGACGGACAGAATAGGACAGAACGGATGGACAGATGATTAAGAGAGACAGACAGACGGATAGGAAGGACAACAGACAGACGGACGGACGGATGACGACGAGGAGAAAGACCGGGGAAAGAACGATGGACAGAACAGGAAGAAGGGTGGCGGAGAAGGGGCTGGAGAAGCGGGAAGGAAAACTAAGGCCAATGGGGAAAGGGGCAGTGGAAAAAAAGGATTTAAACGTGGCCACTTTTGGCAGTGAGGGGTCTGATTGCGGTTCTGTTTTTTTCCAGACCCTCAAGAGTGTGCCTTACCATTTTAGTGTTGTCACTGTTGGGCAGCAGCGACAGTTTCTGACTGGGAGATACAGTGATACCTGGATTTTTGAAGGCCAGAGTAAATATAGCTCCTTTCCCAGCCCCCCTTTTTGTGTTCTCCACAAACATGGTTATACAAGAATCCTTTTGAAAATAATTTTAAAGTTCTTGGTTCACCACAATTTTCCTGCCTCCCAGTTTAAAATCTTCCTCCTAGAAATGATATCAGTAAGGACACATAGCCATGAAACGGACATCCAGTATGAGTCAATACAACAGTGAGAACAGGAATATTGGCCTGTGTTGACAAGTAAACTGTAATATTCATTTAGAAATAATAAAACCAGAGGAATTACTGCAAGGAAGTTTCTACTTCCTCCATTTTGATTTGTCTTGACTCTGTTTCAGTGACTGCAATTGGCAATTTGAAAATAAAAACTCAGTGACAATTGACAAATTCAAAATGCTTTTATTCATATGGAAGTTAAGCAAGTACATTTTAAACAAAGAAGGTGTACTTTAACTTAGCATATGGTAAAACAGAAAAACCACACATTTAAGTTTCTATTCTCTAATACACTACTGAACTTTCCCCTTGAAAGACAAAAAGCCAAGCTGAAATGAACATAGAACAGCATCAAATATGACCAAGTTACTTTAGCCATTAGGATTTAGCTCATATTTTAAATGGACAGTCTAACATCAGGACAAAGTTTACATCATTGCTTTGAAAGTTTACACACGTTCTTTTTTTTTTTTTTAAACAGATTGAATAAATGCTTCGGTAAACAGAGCTTTGCTGATCAAGACAATTGAAATAACTCCATGTTGAATAGTTTCAGAGATAAGCTGGATTCACAAGCATCTTCATTTATGTAAAGCCAGCGAGGACCTTTCAGGCCGAATAAAACTGTTGTGCCATTGCTAAACAGTAATAGTTACCTCCTTTAAAAAAAAGAAAACAAGTTAGTTCTTCTGAGGAACTATGGTGCTATGCATTTAAAATACTAAAACTTCTATCTTCAGGAACCCAAAATGATCAGACATAACAGAAATTGGCAAAATTTCTGTAATGCGAGTGTGCCAGTTTTCAAAGCTTCTTCAAGTTCCATGTCACACCTGTTCTTTCTCCAGCACTGAAGATATTGAAGCCTGATACTCTTTTCCTGAACAGTATTGCAATGTATATATGAATTTATATATTTTCTTTTTGTATTTAATGGCACATTTGAATTCCCTGTGGCTTATCAAAATAAAGGTAAAGGGGTATCTGGTTATAATCTAAGAAAATGAAAGCTTTATACATTTAGAAACTCCCATTCCCAGGCTACCCCTGTGACTGTGTATACTGCATGAAGGGAGACTAGGTCAGAGCATCATTTCAACCATGGTATTTGACTAAATCAGTATCAGTTAGAATGTTTGTAATCAAAAGGTCCATACCAATTTATATTCACATAATATTAGATTGGTGCAGGTAAAATTTTTACTTGGAAACTTTTTAAATTTTTTTTCTCCAATCATTGCTCTTTTTCATAGTAGTGGTTGATAGCCTAACTTTGCTCTTAGCTGTATCATAAAATTGACCTTTGCTTATAAAAGGAAAAATCAGGAAAGTATGGATGGCTCACTATAAATCCATCACCCTTGCTGAAGTGCACTCTAAGCTTATATTTGTGATTCAATTATATTTATACATAAAGGTGATGACATTAGCTTTGCAGGACAGATGCATTAAACTGAAATGTTAGCTCAGTCTCTCCAAATCTTAGCACTTTCAAGAGAAAAGTATATAGCTTTCTAACCTTGTGAATTTTGTTGAATGTTTGTTCTTCCTGTATAGAAGGTATCATGGAAAGCAGAATTCTAAATAGCGCCTCAGAACCAAAAATAAAGATGTAATGAACTGATAGAAGAATTAAAGTCAATTTTATACTAACTGAAGGGCCATATTTCATTAGGCATCAACCAGACACTTACTCAAGGAGCCTATGGAATTCATCTGAGATTTTCAACAGACCAGAAAAAATAGCTTCAGTTTGTGGAGAATGTCACCCCAGCAAATTGCTCAATCTTCTTTGTGGAATATGAGAATATTTACTTTGATTAAATTGAACAGGTACTTGTTCAGTTCTGCAGTCTACCTCATCTTTTGTATACACAGTCTAAATGTCAAAGAAAAGCTCTTAATTTCAAATGACAAATAACCATTTTACCAGTATTCAAATTTATACAATATAGCTAAGCTTAAATCATGCAGTACAAATTGTGAACTTTACAAAGTTGTAAGCAATGGGAAAACAAAGAACACCCTCTGAAAAATGTATGTAAACAAGGCAATGAATGGCAAATGATACTTATTCTTCAGAAAACTGTAGTTTCTAAAGAAAAAAACAAACCTGCCTTAATCATGTTTATTTTCTTTCCTAAAAAAAGATAAACATCTGCCCACACCAATCAGTAATTGTGCCTGTTTACAAAGCCTATGAGGGATAGTTTGCACAGCAGCGCAGAAACCCTCCCCCCTCCCAAAAAAAAAACCTAAACTAGCAAGAAGAAGAGAGTAATGAGTCATTTTTTTTTAAATCTAAAATACAATAATTTGAGACCTCACAGTAATGAAACTTTTTCCTCCCAATTTTGAGGATAGTGGCAAACTACACTTCTGTTTAGTATGCAATATAATGTTGACATATACTCCAGTAGTGGTTTACCTATGCAAGTGTTACATATCATAAGGAAGGAGCCAGTACTGATCTGCAAACTGACACTGATCCATGGAGCGATCTCAAAGTTTCCACATTTCAATTTCAAAATGCATTTAAGCTATAATATGAGTGATTTATCATTTAGTAGTAGCTGTCAAAGTAAAGTCCTAGATAAAACAAAAACATCTGGAACCATAAACAGAAAGGAGCAGTAGCTGAATTTTAATCCAAACTCGACATGCTCACTTCATTAGGAACAGGAAACAGCTAATTAGTAATTGAACGCTTCATGTTTTTAAGAGTGTTTGTACTTGAGTTCCAAACAGAGATGATTTCATATACAGTTTAGATGTAAGCAAGATTAAAGATCAGGAAAAGCAAGGAACAAAGCCTCTCCGGAGCAATGTCAGGGATGTTGCAAACTTACAAGGAAGGATACGCTGAGATTTAGGGAGAGACGATAGAATTTATTGCTTTAAGCTTTATTAGATGGATAAAGGGGAGAATTTGATATATACAAAACTGACCACTTCTTAAATAAAAATATAGACCCACGAGGCCTTTCCCTTAAACACAGCATTGCCTGATATGGGCATATCCTGTGGAAAAGCAGACTTGAGTGAAACTTTTCACACAGGAAACTCAGAGTTGATCAAATGAGTTATCTTACATAGTGTGTAACTGGCTGCTCAAATTCTGTTAGTGTGAGAAACCTGCCTTCTGAGATCTCTATCTGAAGCTTATGAATAGAGAGAGCTAAAAATCATGTGTTACATAGAAGACAGGTATACAGAAAAAAGCCAAAAGAAACTCCAAGAGAACACATAAAGTTCAATCTAAGTACGTCAACCATACCTATTTGTAAAGACACAAATGTTTTGAAGTGAATTCATCTGAAAATGCCATTCATTTTCCCTATCATTCAGTATATACTGTGTAACTTTATAATTGTGAGACATTTTGAATATTATATTTTATCCAGACATCACTGTTATTCAGTTCAGTGTTTGATATTAGTAAAAGTTTTTTTTTTTTTTGACTTTCCTCAGTTCTTCTCCATGACTTATTTTTAGTTTGGCATTATTCCATCAAATTAGGCTACACCACCACACCTTCTCCATGTAAGACCTTTTAGAGACAGTAGAGAATACCACAAGCTAAATGTTTATGCCTTAGAAAAATATTTTTTCAGTGCGTGAAATCACTGAAATGTCACATTGATAGGAACAAATGTGATATTTAAAAGGTTCTAGGTTTGGGAGCCATTACATTAGGAACTCCATGTACTACTTCAGAGAACTGCTTATTAAATAGGCATTAAAAACTCATCTGCCTTTTTGCATAGCATGAGTGGTGTTGTTGTCACATTTCAATTTAATCCCAGAGCAAATGCAGAGATAATGTATGAATTGGTTTTTGTTGGTGTAAAGAGGGCACTTTAACAGAGGCATTAAATCATTCTGATCATTAGAGTATCACTTCGCATAGGAGAATACTGCTCTACTGGATTCTTAGGTGGCATGAAAATGACAATGATGACAGGTTCTGCCACCATTTTATGGCCAGGTCTCCATTAAGTAAACACTTTAACATATTTGAGGCCGTTTCCTGGGTAGTTCAAGTCAAATAACCCATTTGTTCCTAGTCACTTGACCATATTAGGCAGCTGGCTATGTCTAGTCCAGTGGGAGAAAAATGGAAAATACTCCATAGATTTTATGATTTTCTCTCTTCCTCTCTCTTTTCTTTTTCACAATCTTTCTCTCTTTCTTTCTTTCTTTCTTTCTTTCTTTCTTTCTTTCTTTCTTTCTTTCTTTCTGTTAGTCTAACAAAGAGGAAACACATCAGGGAAAAGAAGAGAATAATAAAAATTTGCCTTCTTCATAGATATGGAATGTGCTAGTTGAGACTGGTTAAAATATTTGTTCCATTATCAATAGTCCAAGAAGAAAACTAAGTATAGTAAAATCTGGAAGTTAGAACTACAGAACACTACAGACAAATTGTTTCCTTTAGAAAGGTGAGCTCAACAGCAGTCATAACAAATATTGATCATTTGCAAAAATGAATTACCTCCTAATTCCTGTTAAACACCAGGTCAAATATAAAGCTATTCCATAGCAACCACTGCTTAAGGTGGTTGTGTCTGCATTTTAACTTCTCTCTACACCATTTAGAAATAGCATTTCTGTCTTAATAATTCTTTGACCTACTTACCCCACTAGGATGCTGTGTGGATTAATGTGATAATGTTTGTAAACCACTATGGAAGAAAAGGGTTAAAGAAATGTAAAGTATCATGTTCAGTCATCATTATGATTATCTCCTGAAAATTTGTGAAGCATGTTCTCTAGCACATTTTCCCTTGTTGTGCAAGATTTTATTTATCAGTGATAAACAAATAGTAATTGAAGGTTCCACAGTTTAAGAATTTAAGTATAAATTCTAAAGATTTGCAACACTAGATTAGCAGGTAACTGCTACAGCACCCTATTCGTGCCTATGATCAGTTGGAGTTCCGGCATCAGTGTTCAGGCTGCACAGAAAAAACAATAAGACCTGGTCAAAATTTCATTCCAACAATGAAAACCCAAAATCTACTCAGTGCACTTCACACAAAAAACACACACTACCATATCATATCTGTTAAAGATTTCAATAAATCTATGCATCATAAGTGCATTTTAGCAGGTTGATCTCTTAATCAAATATTCATTTATGTCTTATTCCCTTAAAAACAAAATTATACAAAAGTGAGCAAAACTGTAGATTTACAGTAGCTTATGGTCTAATCTTATACTCTAGGGGTGATACTGACAATATAAAAATGGTGTAAATGATATTCCCTAACTCTAAAATATGCTTATGAGCCCCTTGTGTATGTTCTACAGCTTTACAACCTGCAGACAAATGCATGACTAGTTTAACAAGCAAGCAATTTAAAAAATGTTCTTTTTTCCTCCACATTCTACAACCTGGATAAAATGTCACACCATTTTCTAAGTCAAAACCTTTTTAATGGTTGCAATTTCTCAGCAAGATGAGATTTCTTTCCTAAAAGAATGGCAGTTTCAAAGTACCTGCTCATTTTTAATTTTGTACAAGCTACCAATAAGTGTGTGTACAACATTTTGTCTTGTTTTGCTTTGCTTTAATTTGTGTCTTCCATAAAACACATCTATTTTTTTCCTTCTCAGGGCTCAAGTTTCTTTACCAGTGTTTCCTCAACTCTTTTTC